GAGCTGATTGATGTAAGAAATTTCACTGAAAATGGGCAAGATATTTATTTTAGTATGGAAGCATCAAAACTAGGTATCGAGTCATTTTTAATCTCAAAAGTCAGTGTGTTAATGCAAATTTTAAAGAAAACAAGAGAAAAAAGAAACATCTTTGGGTATGGAACAGTCAATTGGGAGTTATCCATCTCTTCATGATCATGTACAAAAAGTAAAGTCAAAACATATCAAACCCAAAGGTTGTTACTCAATAATTTTGGATTTGGACACAATTATCAAACTCTACTTTCAAAATTCGTCTGTTAAGATCAATGGATGATAGACATTACAGTTTTTTTTTCTTTCTTTCTTAATCAATATCTAACTTCTCACTCTTTTTGCTTTCAAATATATTTCCTGCCTAGATCATGAAGACTATACAACAATCAGTGCTAAACCTGCTAAACCCAATTTCTGCCCCGGGGGGTTAGACCACTTGGGTTATATTTTATAGTTTCATTGAATGTGAAGAAAGTAAGAATCATAGTAGGCAGTATTGTGTCATCTCCAGGGCAACACCTGGGTGCAGCTCTGTTTTTTCTAATGTTTGGAAGAAGCAACACCAGATAGATGGTAAGTTGTTTTCTAGTCTTCTTTGGAAAATAGAGAGCAACTTGGTTATTTGAAAATTTAACTACAATGGCCTATTGCGATATAGATGACATGATGTTAGAATTGAAAAAAAATAAGAAATGTGTGTCAAATTATAGGATAGCACCTCCCAATTGGAGATGCTCTTATTGGTACTTCTCTTGGGCATTTGTCTATTAAAGTCAAATGTGGGGTTCATCTCTTCTACTCTTTTTTCCCCCCATTTGGCAACTCACTTAAGTATTAACTGAGGGGGACAAAAGAACTGAAAGAGAGAAAAAGATAGGAAGAATTAAAACAAGTATACAATTCAGAAAATTGCAGCTTCCTTTGAGTTGATTTTGTATTTGATTCTGGAAGACTAACCAAGTGAGTGGATGACCACAAAGGATTTAGATTTTTCTACTAGAGGAACGCTCCTAATAGTCAATTGTCAGGCAAGACACCATCATTCTTGAACTAAATTTGAAGTAAGCCCACTTTTGATTGAAGAGAATTTTCTCCATTTCACACTGGAGAGAGTGATGTTTATTTGCATTCAATTACGCATCTAAATTTGATATGACGTGCAACAATATTGTCGATAATGCATCAGTAACGTGTTTACATTGATAATTGATATTGTGTCAAAACGAAATCTACTCCAAGCTACAGTGAAAGGGGATCCCTTATGAGAAATTCATCCCATTTATCTGTCCTTGGAACTTTAGTAATTTGCCTCCCCACTATTCAACTTTAGTATTGACAGCTTACTAATTGGCTTCCCAGCTACTCAACTTAAACTATAACTGTAGGGTTTCTAATTTCTAATCAAGTTTCCAATGCTTGCTAATTGTGAGATTTTTTTAAGGTGAGAGACAGTTTAAGGTGAGAGATTTTTTTTGATATGACGTGCAGACTAAAAGAAACACACCCCTCACTGGTTCATCAGGTGTACTCAAGGTGAGCAGCCCTGGAATTCTTGTCCTTGTTGACCACAAGAACACTATCAATCTATTGGTAGTCTTTAATGAAAATGTCTTGTTCCTGTTAGTTGGAAAGAGTCAATTTCCCCTCTCATTCTCTCTGAGTTTCTAATTTTTTTTGTTTGGCCTGGTTCCTAGCATTATATGGTAGTCTTTAACCCACCAATGAATTCTCCAGGTGTGGCTGCATCAAGGATGAAGCCTCCCCTAAAGAAAGAAACATCAATGAAGCTTTTGAGAGCACCTAATTAACTTGATATATGTAAATATGTAAAACAGCAGCCATGACAAAACAGTGCATTCAGAACATCAACATAGGATGCAAAAGCGATCCCACAGGAAGATTTAAGTTGAAAAGAAAAAAAAACCACACATATTCTCAAGCAACATTTTTCTGATCAACTTCTAATACCAAACAATATATTAACTCTAATTCAAATCACAACATGAGTTGTTGAAATCGTGATAGAATAAAGGAACAAACTTTAAGTTACACAAATCACAATATGAGTTGTTGAAATATTTCCAAAATTCATACGAATGACAAAAAAAACGCTGGTCTCTTTGCATTGAGGGCTCTAAAATTTAGCAAGGAATTCTTCATGGGGTCTTGGACACACCCAATCTGCAATCTGCGTTTCATTTACTTTTAATGACCTTGAACTTTCTCCTATCACAAATTATGTTAAACCTTCTATATGATAGAATTTTACCACTCATCTTTAGGGCTGTAGTACTAAATGGACAATGCTGACTTTCGTGATCTGCAGATATCCGTATCGGTGGTCTTCTTTTGTGTCTGTGTGTGAATGCTCAAACGTCCAGTTTCATCTGTGTCGCATATCAAACCTTAGTTGATTGTATAACATGAATTTATAGTAATGTATTTTATTAATATCCTAACATGATTTTGATAAGTCATGGGTTATGAGAAGACTGTCTTTTGCAGCACCATGATGTGAGTTGCAGAAAGAGAATCGTGATATGTGACCAATTTATAATTTTTCTATTTATAAGAAACACAAATTTAAGTTACAAACTTTCATTAAAACAAAGAAAGAGAATCGTGATGCAGAAGACATTGTTGATAATAATAGTGAAGATTATTTGTACCATTCCTTATACTCAGTTCTGATTATTTGACTTTAGTAGCAGGTAAAGTTGCATCTACTAGATGGCCACTGGAACCATATTCCTTTGAATTCTGCTAACCAAGAGGAGCCTTTGGTTCTGACGAAGACATAAGAGCAACCAATTGCACCACTAAGAGTATATCAAAAAGCAAAAACTTTCACTATCTAGCATGCACTCAATCATCCATATATACATGGGGAGAATGGAGATTGTGCGGCTCATAGAATCAAAGAATGATAGGTAAAAGGGAGGGTTTTGTTAAGCATATATATAGTGTGATCATCATATTTTGCTAGAATTGAAAGCTAAGTTTATAGAACATCTGTTAGACCAGCCATGCTATATGGGACTGAATGCTGGACAGTTAGAAAACAGACATATTCATGGTTCCTGTAGGTAAATATTAGCCAAACGTTACAACCTGCACAGTGATATGCACACCTCTATCTCTGTTTCTCTAACGGCATATTAGCCATTATTAGACACAAATTTTTAAGAGATCAGATTAAAATATTTGCCACCTTTCGAATCCTTCAAAATTGGAGATGTTTGCTGAATAATCTTTGCTATCCTTCAAAATCGAAGGGTCACTGCCTCAACCTGAAAAGCCAGGTTTTTATAGTGAAAGCAATGTCAATGAACTCGAGGTCAATCCTTCTTCTAAAGCATTTTCAGCTAATGAAGTCACAGTCCTTTTACACTAAGGGAGGATTGATAAACGATATTTCATGTTGGTATGTTAATCTGGTGCTTTTGAAGTCAGTTTGAAAAGTTAAATATAATGAAGAGATTCCCAACCCATGCGTTAGGAATGCACCCTCTAATTTTTTTTATTTTTTTTCTTCAGAGTTGAGGTGGAGTTCACACAACAAAAACACAGATGCTGATACAAGAACAAATATAAAAGCTTAAATGAATTAGATTTTTCACTTGAGGTGGTGTAATATTTCAAATTTTTTTTTCTGTCCTTTGGTGCGTTGGGTTTGGGTTCCTATGCAACAGGAGGAGGAGCCAAATCTTTCTTCTTTTTTCTTTCAAGAGAAAAGCAGAAATGCAACAGAAATGCAATATCAAATGTCAAATATATAACAGAAATGCAATATCCAAAGAATGAAAAGCAATCCCACCAAGAAGAAACTAGCAAATATTAGTGAATCAGCAAAACTTATGAATTTAGCAAATAAAGAACCTGAAGCCAGTTTCAAGCAGAAAAAACTTGTGTAATTTGAAGAGCCTGCCCAAGCCGCTGAATTTGAATCCATTGCTCTGTAACAATGTCAGCCATCTGAAAGCAAAGAGAAAGAAGCCAATGGCAAAATGAACACCACACTAACAACATCACACACTCATAGCCATAGACCAAAGATGGATTGAGTACATCAGTGCATGACCTTTTGAGCCTGAAAGGCAACCGTTTCGAGTCTATCCTCGGCATCTTGTGCTTTAGACTCTAAAAAATCGGCCTAGGCGGGCGGCTCGG